TTCATAAGACCAGAGCGCAAATAACACGCCAAACTTACAAGAAAAACAGTATCCAACTTGAAAGGACTACCAGCAAACGGCAAATTGGAAAGCAAAAACGACGTCGCGTTAGGAAGCAGAACAACGTCAGGCTGTCCAACTCTGATCAAGAAGCTTATTTAAGCTTATTTCCACCGAAATAATTTGTGAATGTTCTTGTTATCAGGCATCAATGGCGCCTCTCACAAGGTCAATGAAGAAGAAAGCAGCAAACAGCAAGAGTCGCATCATGCAATCTCTTCCGAAGGAGCTTTTGGTAGAAGTTCTTGCAAAGGTGGCTTCGAACTCTTTCAACGATCTCTACTCGGCAAAGTTAAGCTGCAAGGACTTCAACAAAACGGCTGAAGAAGACTACATATTCCAGTGCGTTGACATGAGCAAATTCCCATTGGATTCTTGGAGGTTTGACGACAAATTCTCCAAGTTTCTGAAACGCTGCAAAAAGTGCGGCAACGTGGAGGCCTTGTACCGACAAGGGCTTCGAGATCTTTTCATAGGCAAGAGGGTGCAACAAGGAATCATGTGTCTGAAGAAAGCAGCCTCGAAGGGTCATGTAGAAGCGACGTATGTTTACGGCGCCATCTTGGTGTGTTTCGGGGGAGAGGCGAAGCAGGAAGGCCTGGAGCTTCTGTATTCTCTCAATCATTACAAACCGAAAGGATTCAGCGTAAGAGGTTGCAGGGAGAGGGCTAAAGGACACAGAAACACTGTGAACACGGCTAAAGGACACAGAAACCCTGTGAACACGGCTAAGAACACAGAAACCATGTGAACACGGCTAAAGGACATAGAAACTTCTCTTCAATTCTCTTCTCCCCCTGAAGAGAAGGGTATGTCAGAGTTAAGAAAGAGGCAAAATCTCCATGAGAAAGATAAACATATCATTTTTCACTCCCCCTCCCCCCCTTGAAGAGGAGGGGAGGAGAAATTTTGATATGAAAATTTAGAGACAACCAAGGATCGATTGCTCTGATACCATGCTAAAATATGAATATGGGTTTTTGAATATGTTAGGTTCTTCTTTTATTCTTCTCCATAAGAAGGTATATATAAGAGTTTACATGAGTGCTTTACAAGGAATTAGATCCAGTAAAGAATTAGGAAGTATCTCCTAATTATATAATGATTTGACAACTATATAAAATAGGAAAGTAAATCCCTTAATTAACCAAAGGAAATAAATCTATAAAATAGGAAAGTAAATCCCCTAATTAATCAAGGAAATAAATCTCCTTGATTAATTAGGAGACTCACTTCAACACTTCTTTGAGTTTTCTCCACTCTTTTGTTCATCCTCAGAAGTTTCACCTTCAGAAGAAAGTGCATCAGTGTCTTCACCATGATCTGAGATAGCCCATGTACCTTCATTAGGAGGCACCATTTCAAGATCAATGTTTCGTGCCTCTTCACCCACATTTGGTGGAACATTTGCTCCCATTTTGCCTATCATTCCAGGATCAATGTTTGGCATCTCATCATCAGTGTATTCATAATCATTGTCCTTTAACTCTTCATCCTTCTCTTTTTCTTCATTTTCTGCTTCATTACCATCATATTCAACTTGCACATGTTGCTCTTCATTGTTTGCTTCATTACCATTAGATTCAACTTGCATTACCATCATATTCAACTTGCACATGTTCCTTTTCATTACCATTTATATGCCCTACATCTTCTTCAGCTACATTTGCATTCTCCTTAGAATCCAACGATGGCCATACCTCTTCTTTTTTTACTACCAAGTGTGTTTTGGTAAGTTGGATCATGAAAATACAGTACAACAACTCTATTTGATGGAATGGTACCAACTAAATTTGCAATGCACCTATCATCTAAAACCTCCTTAACAACATCTTTTGCATGCACCTTATAGAACACTTTTAGGCTCGTCACCTTCTGGGTTATACCCACTTTATACCCAAGCTCTGCCCCAATTTTATTCAATCCAATAGTGACTAATAGTCATCCACACAGTTGTCTGCAAAACATACCTTCCTACCCTTATATACACATTTTCCAACAAACCGAAATGGTGAAGTTCCAAAGTGCATAGCTCGGGTGTATCTAACAGAAATACAATATTACTTTGGTTACAACATCTGACAGAAAAACAATATTTTCAAAGCTTTGAAACCACATTTTCTTGCCTCAAATCAAGGACAACAACACAAGACCACACATATGCAGACAAAGCTTAAACCTATAAAATATTCAACGCAATAAGTTAAAGTTGTAGTAACTTACCATACTTTGGATGGTCTCCAAACCACCTAAACATTGTCCCCATGTGAAGTCTCTTTGTAAACACTGTCACTTTCGATTGTCCCAAAATCGAACCCTAAAATCTTTAATAATGCACTAATACTTCAATCAACACTGTCTACTTTTCAAACATCGCACTTTCGACCACAAAAACACTTTGAATGACAGGACCCGACCCAAATTTCCCCTAGGAATCCGTGACGAACCCTGATTTTCGTCCGACACTAACCTGATGCTGGACCTACTTTACTAAAACGCTCACTAGCCCTAACTTTGAGAGATAAATGAGTCGACTTCTGCCGAAATTTCAGCAGAGTCTCCCCTGTAATTGGAACAATTCCCAAATTACAGTACCTGCAAAAAGTACGAAACTAATCCCAACTTCCGGCATGCACAAGGTATACACACAATAGTTAAGATTAATGAAATGGGCCTCATGCCCTCTATCCAAAGTCAACGAGCATACATAGCAACTAATGATTTAAATGTACAACCCATGAAAGAATAAAGGTAGAAAGTGAAAGAAGAACATTCCTATGGAGCGAACAATGATGATGCCTCGACGTGGTGGTCTCAACCTCGGAATCTAGGACTTGGGAGCACAAAATAGAAAATGTGAGTGGACGAAAAACAAAGTGTTTAACATAAATTATATTCAACATAAATAACCCTCTCTGTTTTATAAAATATTGCCAAAACACTAAGTAACAAAGTCCTTTTGTATACATATATATTTACCAACCAATACTTGAAAATAATTCACTTCAGTAAGCTCATGCAATAACATACGATAAGGAAAAACCATATAAATAATACTTCTCCAATTTCTTGGAAAACAATATAAACTTGTTTATTTATATCCTTTTTGTAAAATTGTAAATTTAAACCCACCAAAATATCTCATTAACACAAAATATATTAAGCCAATAATTTCCAAATAGCCAATCTCAATTTCAAACCTCATTCAAATATCCATACCTATGTAGAGCAGTCTCAATGCACATGCTCAAAAAACCCAACATGGAAACAAGTGTATAGATATATACCCACACAAATACCCACATACATATTTATATAATTAATCAAATTTATATGCTTGACATTCCATTCTTTAAAACCAAAGTATCCCATATACGTAATTATATAACAAAAAAGACTTTGAAAACCAGATAACCCAAAATCCCGATAGTAGTACAACCCCAAACTCAACTCGACCTTTTTCCCTTACTAGACCACTCCCTTTTAAAACGCGTGCTCGTAGGCACAGAAAGTGTGGAAGGATCCTCACTGAACAAGATAAGAATAAAAGTGTAATCGTGTGTGTGTATATATATATATATAGTATAACTTCCACACCGAAACTTGTACCGGGGAAACAATCCAATACGGGGATCGTTTGACTAGCCCGCAGGGTTTCAACTTCTACTTTGCATATAGGGATGAGCTCTTCAACTGGGGGGACTACCACACTATAGCACACATGCCGGAAAATCCAATGCCACGTGTGGTAAAGTAACCAGTAATTAGTATCCAAGGGATCCCACACGCTGGAAAATCCAACACCACGTATGGGTAAAGTAACCAGTATCCAAGGGGATATATATAATATACCCTCTCTTAGTTCAATTTCCCAAAAACTCACAACCGAAACCAAATTCCCAAATTCGCAATATACCAATGTACCAAAATCCATATGCATAGACATCCGGACAATAATAGCGTCCATAACTCAATACCCAAAAATTTATACGTATATAGACTTCAAACTCTCAAAAGCATAAATCTCATAACCCAAAATATTCACGAAACTTCAATATCGCATTAAAATCCGATAATCCCATAACATAATTTCGTAAACCCATCAAGACCCCAAAATAATTCAAATAATAATCAAAACTTGTTTACACATAATTTCCATAAATGTTCCTCATTTGTTCGTTAGCCTGAAAAAGCTGAATTTCACATTGCATATACGAGCACAAAAAAGATGAGAACTCTTGAAACCTACTACTGCTGCTAAGAACTTGTATCGTTGCATAATTGAAGCACCTAACCTGCAAGTTCTCCATGTTGAAGAATTCGTCTTTGTAAGTTTCACCATCAAAAATTTGCAATCCCTTTAAGAAGCCAAGGTGGAAGCAGGGTTTTTTGAAGCTAGAAATGAACTCGGTGAAGTTCTTGAACTTCACATTCTTTCCGAAAAAATATTTTCCACTCTTCATAGAGCATCAAATGTTAGGTCGCTTGTTCTCAAGGAAGGAGCTTTTGGGATAAGGTTTCCTTTCACTTTTGTATTTGAAGTTTGGAATGAAATGTGATTGGTGAAATTATGACGAAGAGGAGGTTTGGATAGTCATGCTTGAACTTGAAATTATAATTCAATTTTTGCAGGCACTAGGTTTATGCTTTTGTTGAGACTACCGGCATGCTACTGAAGAAGAATTTATGAACAAGTATATAGACATAAACCTTCGCTGGCTCAAAAGTCTTAAGGTGAGCATAGCACACTCTAATGGGTGGGAATTCTTACTTTATCTACTTGTTCAGATACCTCACTTAGAGAGGATCGGGCTTAAAATAGTGAAGAGGGAAAATGATCGGGAAAACATAAGATTCGTTTGGAATCCCCAAATAGGGGTTACGGCAGAGTGCCTGAGGGGGATTATCAAACAAATTCGACTCATTGGATTTGGAGGGATGGAGGCAGAAGCACGTATAATTCGGGATTATTTTACGCATGTTCAAGGACGAAAAGGGGAAGCAATAATTGTCACAGTGGACTGAGGGACGTACTTTAGCAATAATTGTCCAAACGAATCTTCTGTTTTCCCGAACATCTTCCCTCTTCACCATTTTGAGCTCGATCATCTCTAAGTGAGGTATCTGAACAAGCAGATAAAGTAGGAATTCCCACCCATCAGAGTGTGCTATGCTCACCCTAAGACTTTTGAGCTAGTAAACATTTATGTCTATATACTTGTTCATAAATGTTTCTTAAGTAGCATGGCGATAGTCCCAACAAAAGCAAAAACCTAGTGCCTGCAAAAATTTAACTACAATTTCAAATTCAAGTATGACTATCCGAGCCTCCTCCTCGTCATAATTTCACCAAACACATTTCATTCCAAACTTCAAATACAAAAGTGAAAGGAAACTTTACCCCAAAAGCTCATTCCTTGAGAAAAAGCGACCTAACATTTGATGCGCCATGAAGAGTGGAAAATATTTTTCCAAAAGAAGGTGAAGTTCAAGAACTTTACCAAGTTCATCTCTGTCTTCAAAGAACCCTGCTTCCACCTGACTTCTTGAAGGGATTGCAAATTTCTGATGGTGAAACTCACAAAGATAGATTCTTCAATATGGAGAACTTGCAAGTTAGGTGCTTCAATTATGCAACTATACAAGTTCTTAGTAGTGGTAGTATTTCGAAAGTTCTCGTCATTTTTGTGCTCGTATATGCAATGTGAAATTCAGCTTTTTCAGGCTAACAAAACGGACGAGGAACATTTATGATTCCAAAGGGAGCTCCATGAATCTCTCTTTGACATACAACTCTTCAAGGTGCGGCATATGTCAGAAAAGTTCAGCATGAATTGATTTGAGTT